AGCCCGACCAAGAGGGTGGCCTAATGACACCAGGAAAGAGGGACCAGCTGCCTGGACCTATGCTCAGGACGAGTGGTGTGGAGGGTGAATGAAGAGTGGAGAGGATGAGGGCGCAGCTCTGTGACCCCTGAGCCGCTGCCCAGTATTCTTACTCATGAAATGTGGACAACATAATTAGTACCAGCTTTGAAGGGTGACTGTGAGATTGGAGAGGATGGTGAGTGTACAGTTCTTGGAGCAGGCCTGGTGCACAGAAAGTGGTCAATAGACAGGAGGTGGTATTGCTTCAGGGAGCATGAGCTGGACCCTGGAGGGCAGGGTCTTTGATATGATAGAAATTAGGAAGCCACAGAAGCATTTTGATTGGAGGTGAGGTGTTACTGGAATGAATGAATAACGGTAGCTACTGTACTGTATGCTCTGTGCTTTGTATCCATTATCTGCAACCCTCACCACTGTCCTTAGGGGAGGGGGCATTTATTCTCTGAGCCTCAGTGAGAGGACACTTGCACCTTGCCTAAAGCCACCTAGCTACCAAGAGGGAAGGCAGGGTTTTTGAACCTATCCTTGACAGTTTCTAAAATCTGGGCTCTTTTTCCTTTTTGCCAGAGTGCCTCTGTCTGGGAAGCCATCTCCCAGAGCCCGATGACCCCATGGGGAAGAGAAGTATCTGGCTTAGGTAGTTACTACTGCTCAGGGGTCCTCAAACTTCTTAAGCAGGGGGCCAGTTCACTGTCCTTCAGACCGTTGGAGGGCTCTGGAGAGTGCAGCGCACATTCCACACATGCACACTGTGGGCCCAGGACAAGTTGGCTGCTAAGTAGGACAGGCAGCAGCGGCAAAAACACCTGGCAGGCCACATGTGGCCTGCGGATCGTAGTTTGAGGATGCCTGCTACTGCTACTAAAAATGTGTGTGAGGTCAGGCACAGTGGCTCATGCTTGTAATCCCAGTACTTTGGGACGCTAAGGCAGGAAGATCACTTGAATCAGGAGTTCAGAGACCATAGTGAGACCCTGTCTCTGCAAAAAATTAAAACATTTGGCCCAGTGTGGCAGCTCACGCCTGTAATCCTAGCACTCAGGAAGGCCGAGTCAGGCAGATCACTCAAGGTCAGGAGTTCAAAACCAGCCTGAGCAAGAGTGAGATCACATCTCTACTAAAAATAGAAAGAAATTAATTGACTAACTAAAAATATTTGTATAAAAAATTAGCCTGGCTTGGTGACACATGCCTGTAGTCCCAGCTACTTGGGAGGCTGAGGCAGGAGGATCACTTGAGCCCAGGAGTTTGAGGTTGCTCTGAGCTAGGCTGATGCCACAGCACTCTAGCCCAGGCAACAGAGTGAGACTCTGTCTCAAAAAAAAAAAAAAAAAAAAATCAGACACATGGTGGTTCGTGTACGTAGTCCAAGCTACTTGAGAGGATGAGACAGTAGGATTACTTGAGCCCAGGAGTTAGAGGTTACAGTGAGCCATGATCATGCTACTGCACTCCAGCCTGGGCAATAGAACAAGACCCTGTCTCTAAAAAAAAAAAAAAAAAAGATGTATGAGCTCAGGGTACACATTGGCAGCACTCCCCCCCACCCCCAATAAAAACAGAAACAAAAAAAGGGAGGAAGAAATAGGATGGTCACATCTCAATGGAAGAAGAGACAACTTGGTGATTGGCTGTAGAGAAAAGAGGACAGGATGAGTAGGAGATGATTGTGCTGTTTGAAATGAAGGTTAGTTGGCCTGACTTTCCTCTGCCTGGGATTGGGCTTCAAAAAGCTCAGGTGCTAATAGTGGAGTCCATGGATTTTTCAGAAATATAACTTTCTTATGGCTGTATATGTAGCGATCTCTCAGACTTCATAGTAATTCTTGCTTGGTGTAGGTGACATGTTGCCTGGCTGGACATCTGCTGTTGTAGTGTGGTCAGTGCCACTGGGGAAGTGTGATCTTAGGTAAGAGAGAGTCATAGTGTTCCTTGGGACCATGTTCACTTTTGTGTCTTCTAGGAGGACAGTGTTGCTCACATTGGTGTTGAAGGACCAACTTTGAAAAATTTTCAGTCTGTGTGGATTGATAACTTTTGTAAAATAAAGAATTACTAGACAAAAAACCTGAAAAAAGGCATGCAGAATACAAACTTTTTTTATCACTAGATTCAGCAGATATAAAATTACTCTTGTCAATTGCCACAAAAGTTTCTAAATCTTATTCCCAGTTTCTGTATTGTAGACAGCACATTTGACTGCAGACTAATAAACTATTCACACGCTGGTACACTTTGAGAGCAAGTGATTTAGGAAGAAAGTTTGTTAAACAAATTAGTAAAAAATGAACAGATGCTTTTGGAATATTTACCTGATTTAAGAGTAAAAATCTTTCAGTTGGCATTTAAAGTACTTAACATCTTTCCAGTAAAGTTCCATGTTGGAGTGCAGGGATATAAAATAAATGTTCCAGGAACCAAAGCTAATGTAGTTATTAATATTATGTGGGATCCATAAGTTTAACTCTCAATGGTAGCAATACTTGGATAAAATAGGTGCTTTTACTTCCTCTGTTGTTTCTTTTGCTCATTTAATTCATATTAGAATGTTTTCTCTGTTAATTCTTGGCTAGCCTATGAATTGATTTATGTATTTCAGTGCATAATTTTAGGTATTTTATTGTAGGGGAAAATTCTCTAAGCAAACTTAAAAAAAAAGTTTCCAAAGTTGTGTATGCTGACATAGTGATCATGTATAATTTAATTGTTCATATTTCAAATTGGATTTTTGCTCTCTAGCTGCCAGTTGTATCTTGTAGTTCTAGATATTTTTACTTTTGCTGGTATCTTCCATGTTCTGAGATGACTTGCTTATGTTGTTCCCTTAGCCTAGAGTTCTTTCTCCCCACCTTTAGAGCTCGGCACAGGAGCTGCTGCCTTCAGACAGCCTGTCCACGTGTACTCATCTGCGCCTCCACCGCTCACTCTTAGCTACTCTCAGCTGTCTGCTGAGCTGTCTTTAACCTGCCTCATGGCACAGTGGTTACTCCCCTTCCCGGCCCCTTTCCTCCTTGCTGCAGAGTCAGGACTCCCTTTTGTTTTGTATCGTGCTTTATATATACTTTCAAGGCTCTTTGATGTATATATTCTCTTATTTCATTCTCCAGACAATCCCATGAGGTTGGTAGAACAGAGATTCTCATCTCCGTTTTAACTGAGGTGAGGCTGGGAGAGTGTCCGCATGGCATGTACCCTCATTCCTTTGCCCTGGGGCTCCCAGAACCACTTGTACCACTTAGGTCCAGACTTCCAAATGCTCAGGTTTTGAGTTTGCTCAAAGACGCCCGTAATTTGGAGGTTCTCTTTTTTACTCAATTTTGTATTTGTTATTTGAATATCGAACATTAGAATACCCAGTACCATGGCACAGGCCTCTTTGGGGAAAAAAAAAATCTTTAGAACGTAATGGAGGGGTGGTCAGTAGAGAACTAGGGCTGTGAACCCCAGAATGGCACACAGGCCGAACTAGTGTTTTCAAGGACATGTTCAAGAGGGTTAGTTGTCTCCACCTGTGATTTCCAAACAAGAGTGGGAGAGAGGGTGTGTTTCCCTTCTTTCAACATTAAATGCCCAGTATATATATATATATTTTTTGAGATAGAGTCTCACTTTTGTTGCCCTGGCTAGAGTGAGTGCCATGGCGTCAGCCTAGCTCACAGCAACCTCAAACTCCTGGGCTCAAGCGATCCTCCTGCCTCAGCCTCCCAAGTAGCTGGGACTGCAGGCATGCAACACCATGCCCGGCTAATTTTTTGTATATATATTTTTAGTTGGTCAATTAATTTATTTCTATTTTTAGTAGAGACAGGGTCTCGCTCAGGATGGTTTCGAACTCCCAACCTCGAGCAATCCGCCCGCCTCGGCCTCCCAGAGTGCTAGGATTACAGGCGTGAGCCACCGCGCCCGGCCTAAATGCCCAGTATATTGGGATTACACAGACATTTATCATGAAGAAAAGAATCCTTCTTCAAAAAGGAAGGAAAGGACACGTTGAAAAATCATTTTTAACCCAAGTCAGAAATCATTTGCTTTTGACTTTTTCTCCCCCATCCCCTTTATGGTCAAACAGACCTGGGGTCCAAGTCCAGCCCTGCCACTTACTAGGTAGGTATGGTGACTTTGGCCAAGTTATTTAACTTCCCTAAACTTGTTTTCTCATCTGTACAATGGGTCAAATATTGTCTACTTTGAAGGATTATTGTAAGGATTAAAGATGATGCATGTAAAGCATTTTGAGTGTGGACTAAATAAGTGAAAGTTCCTGAAAGCTAATACAGAGGAGGGATTGTGACCCAGAAAGGGAGCCACCTGCATGTAGTTGGCTCCGGCAGTGGTTCTCAGACTTGAGTGGGCATCAGAATCACCTAGGCAGGCTTTTTAAACTTCAGCTTGCTGGCCCATCCCTATAGTTTCTGATTCACTGAGTCTGGGGTGTGGAGCTTGAGGATTTGCATTTCTAAGTTCCCAGGCAATGCTGTTGCTGCTGCTTCTGGTCTGGGGACCACACTTTGAGAACCACGGGCTACAGGTAACCGGCCAGTGGGCATTAAGGTGCTATATTTGAATGCTGAGCTTTTATGTGGTTAGAGTTACTGTGCTAGAAAATGCTTGGAATGCATTTTGAAAATACTGGATTTAGTATCGCAAGGATTTTTCTCTTTAAAGTCCAGGAGTCTTTGTTACATATATTTATTTGATGGAGAGTAAGTTGTGAAAGTAAGAGTTACAATGTGACATCATTAAAATATAAACATAATAGTCTAATAATGTCTAATTGGCTAAGGTATGTAAAAGTGCTTTTATAAAATGTTAGATGAATGTTAAGTCACAACTGAAAAAATATTTTAAATATCTTTGTTTTTAAGATTAGACATCATAGTGGCGTATAAAATAGTGTAACTTAGATTTCTCATCTCAATGTGCTGTTTACCGTATGTATTTTTCTCTTTCTCCTCCAGGCTGCTGACTTGAGTAAACCAATAGATAAAAGGATATACAAAGGAACACAGCCTACTTGTCATGACTTCAACCACCTAACAGCCACAGCAGAAAGTGTCTCTCTCCTAGTGGGCTTTTCCGCAGGCCAAGTCCAGCTTATAGACCCAATCAAAAAAGAAACTAGCAAACTTTTTAATGAGGAAGTAAGTAGCACCCTGTCTTAGCCATTAAGAATCCCTTTAAGAATTTATACATTCCTACCAAAGGTAGTGGGCCTTATTTTACGCTTCCAGCTAAGCCCATTTTTCATTTGCTCAGGCCTTCTACCTAGTATTACCCAAGTTTAAATGTGGTGGATTAATGTGTTTGACCTTTACCTGTTATTACTTGGGGGAACTGTTTTGTGCATTTTTATGGGGCTTGTTCAGGTATCTATAGCAGGTGCTTTAAAACTAAAGAAGAAAATGGAGAGTGCCAAACTTTGTTCACATCACCAGAAAATTTCATGCAGATCAAAGAACTCGATGACATTTCCTTAGGCTGCTTAAATTGTAGCTAAAGCTGTTGTATGTATCTTTGACAGGCATTGACCTAAGGAGTAGTTCTCTTGCTCTTGAAAATAGTTGCTGTAAAATCACCTTTGACATAGTTAGAAATCCTGACACTTAAAGTTGGATCACATGACATAGCTTTTGCCAGTGTTGTGTATGTACTGGGGTTTTTAATATCTTCGGTTTCATTCTGGAAGGAGCCTGAGATATCTAAACTGTCTGTTCAGGGACATATCCGAACTCTTAAATGTGGCAGGTAGAAGTTACCAGATAGATTATATTTTTTAAAGCTATTGGAATGGCTTTTCAGCCCCAAGTATAGCCATTATATATTTAATGTTCTTCCTCCTGTGTTTCAGTATGACTTTTTTCACCAAGTGGAAAAGATAAAGTAGGCTTACTTAGGTAGAAACCCTTGGTTCCAGTCTCTTCTTGTGACCTCAGCCCTGATGTGCAAGGGTCAGGGTATGTGGAGCCTTCTCTCAGAAAGGATACATGTTTTGCACTGTTGCATGGTTTTGGTGTCATTCACTTGGAATAGAAATACATTATAGATCCTGGTTTTTAAGAAATAATTTTATTTGGGGAAGAAAATTCAGCTTGACAAATGCAGTTAAAATTCTGATTCTTTTGCAGTCATTATGTTATATGCTAGCTATGTATATCCAGTATCCATCCAACGTGCTTCTGTTTGACATTGCCAGTGGACTTGGTGAAATCTTTTGAACCATGCCATCTCCTCTCCTAGTTTCATCTGGGTTGACTAGAAACAAAATTTGCCATCTGGATTGACAGACTGTAGAGGAAAAGTATTTAATCCCATTTTCCATTAAAGAAATCTTAAGTGGAAAATATTTTATTTACCTAGATGTTTTATTAATATTATCTGAGGAAGTGATTTCTAAATATCTGGATGATTTTTTTAGTGGGGGTGGGGAGCACAAAATCTGCCTTCTCTGCACTGTTAATAGAAATTATAAATTTGAGTCATTGTGAGTTTTTGTTTGTGTTTAAGTAGGGGAGAGTGTGATTGAGGGGGAAGGGATTGGAACCATGTAGAGGGCTATTGGTAAACAAGATCTGGAGGCAGCTCTGCCGGAGGATGGCACAGAATGCCACTTAGAGAACAAGAAAGGTTTGTGTGTCATGGCTGGGGGAGGGAGGGGAGTTGGAGAGCTTACGACCCTGGCATCTCAGGGCCCTGAGAGCACTAGGGCTGCATCAGTCAGACCCACCCCTGCCCAGGGTGACTGGGAGCTGCAGGCTAGAAAGCTCCTTCTCTCTCTTCATGATTTAAGTATGAGTTATCTTATACTCTTTATATTTTATTTGAAAAATCGCTATTCAGAATGCTAGGACTGTGTATGGTTTAACGCCAGCTTGTCACTTACAGCTTGCGGCTGAAACTGATTGCCCTTCACAGTAAGGAAAGTCTTTGGCTGTGTGGATACATTTTCATTAGATTTTGGTTAGAATGTCTAAGAGCGAGGGTCACCAGAGGTTTGTTCTCAGAGAGTGCCAGGAATGGCTGCAGCAGTCATCATGTTGTGCTTTGCACTATTGTGAGAATTAGAGGTTTCCAAGTGCTTGTAGCCTCTGCATGAGAGAGTGGGCAGTTATGCCCATTTTACAGATGAGGAAATAGTCAAAGAGAAGGCAAGTGAATTGTCTAGATCAGGTAGCAAGTGGATAGAGTTAGAACCAGAAATTAATTCCAAGAACTCTTACTTGTTATAGCCTGTAAGTCATATTGTGTATGGTTACCAGATTATTGGCCCTTGCCTTCTGAGAAGTTTGCAGTTTAGTAAAGATGGACAGAGTACTGGGACATGTGTTGTCATAGTGATATGAACAAAGTACCAAAGGATACCTGCTAACTGTATTTTGTAGTATGTATCAAATGTCATAAATTTTTTTTTTTTTTTTTTGAGACAGAGTCTCACTTCTCTTGCCCAAGCTAGAGTGCCGTGGCATCAGCCTGGCTCACAGCAACCTCAAAGTCCTGGGCTCAAGCAATCCTCCTGCCTCAGCCTCCCAAGTAGCTGGGACTACAGGCATGCGCCACCATGCCCGGCTAATTTTTTCTATATATTTTTAGTTGGCCAATTAATTTCTTTCTATTTTTAGTAGAGATGGAGTCTTGCTCTTGCTCAGGCTGGTTTTGAACTCCTGATCTTGAGCGATCCACCTGCCTTGGCCTCCCAGAGTTCTAGGATTACAGGCGTGAGCCACTGCGCCTGGCCCTAAATGTTTTTTAAAGTTAAGTTCAGTGGGGAAGTTCCGAGAAATGCTTTCAGAAAGTGACATTTGATCTGGGATCTTAACGGGTGCATAGGAGTAGGAGGAGGGTATGGAAGAGAACAAGTTGATATATGGAGGAACATCAAGTAACAGTGTGGCTAAGTCACAAGGTGTGGGGCTCAGAGGAGTGGCAGGAGTCAAAGCTATAAAGATAAAATTTGGACCAGACACTGGAGGCTGTGGGGGAAACTTTGGGCTTTTAATCAAGGGAGTGACAGGATCAAATGTGTTTTTTTAGAACTCTTGTCAGCACTTGTGGAAGGTGGATTGGAATGAAGAAAGAGAGAATGAAAGTAGCAAGACCAGTGAGGAGGCTCTAGTAACTGTCCAGGTGAGAGCTGAGGGCTTGAAATAGAGTGTGGCCATTCTTTCATTCATTCAACAGACCTGGACTACCTACCACGTGCCCAGCACTGGGTCTGCAGCAGCAGATAAAACCTGCCCTCCCGTGACCCCTCCCAGGAGGGAAGAGAGGTGTAAAGGATAGCACCACCCACACACACTGGTGACCGAAAATGGTGACACATTGTGATGTGAGAGGAGAGCAGGCCTGAGAGAGGGAGAGAAGCACAGAGGTCTGCTTTAAACTGGGAGGCAAAGAACATCTCTCGAAAGAAGTGGTGTGTTTTAAGCTGAGCCTCACGTGAGAAGGAGGCCAACCAGGTAAGGAGCGGGAGCCGGAGCATTCCCGCAGGAGGGACAGTGGGTGAGGGCCCTGGGTAGAAGAGAACTGGGGACCAAGGGAGCAGAGAGGAGGACAGTTGGGGGGGCAGGGGTGTGAAGTTAAGGTTTCTGAGATTGGAGGGCCAGGCTACTTGGGAACTGGTCCAGGTTTACTTCTTGGCCTGAGTTATGGGATCCCTTAGAAGGGAGCAGGAGCACCAGTCAGTCAGATTGGTGTTTTTGAAAACTACCCCTGCTGCTACTTGGAGACTTGGAAAGAGGTATTAATAAATCTTAGATTTCTGGCTGTCACTCACTGCTTTAGGTGGGACTGGGACAGGAGCAGATGTTGGTTAGTGGAGGGAAAGAGGAGAGATTCCATTCTGTACTTGATAAGTGTGAGAGACCTGTAGGTAGTTGGACATACATATAGATCTAGAACTCAAAATAAGGGGGAAAATTGGGGAGTTGTCAGCATATAAAGAGTAATCATATCCTGAGAGGAAAGGGCTTCTGGAGAAGGCATAGTAAGGACAAAGAAAAATGCCTAGGACTGAGCCCTGATTATACCCCAGGATTCTAGCCGTATCATCCTATTGCGTCCAAAGGAGCCCTTAAAGCCATCAGTTAATTACTATGTTTACAGATTGGCATCTACCCTGGTGCCTGGGGTTCAGACACTAGCCTCCCACTTTCTGCTTACAGGCTGTGGTCTTTAGTCTCCTCTCCTCCTCACTCAGAAGATGGGTAAGAGCAGTACCCACCTGAGAGGTGTGTGAGGCGGGTAAGAGGAGTCAGTTTGGGCAGCGCTGTGAGGGGCTGGAGAGCGCGCCCTGGGAGGTGGTCGGGAACACGCAGGGTCGAGGGAAGCTCCAAGGCTTCCTTTACCAGGAAGGGGTGGCGTTGGAAAGAAGGGCTTTCTTGGGAGGTGAGGTGCCAACAATTTTGAAGGATAAATAATTGTCCAGGACAAGAAGGCATGGGCAAGGCAACCAGGCAGAGAATCAGCACACGTGAGGTGGAGGGTCGGGGACCACCGGTCACAGGTGTGTGGTCTGTCCTCACCAGGACACTTCTCTGACCCATGTGCACTCGCACACACACCCCTAGGATTAATTACTCTGACTTTTGCCTCTTTTCTCATGCCTGGTACGTGAAAATAGAATAAATGATTAGATGGATGGATAGACTGGGACTATGAATTCTAGAAATCCATCTGAGCTAAAGACAGATGAAAAATTTCTATCTGGGAACAAGTACATATTAAAAGGTGATATCCCTCTCCACCACAGTCAAATAAAAAATAAAAATTATTATTTATAGAAAAATTGGAAAATAGAGAAGTACAAAGAAGATGGAAAAACATCACTGATAAATTCTATCACACACTGTTAACCTTCCTAGTCTTAGTAATTTTTCTCACTCTGTCACCCATGCCTGGAAGTACAGTGGCATGATCAGAGCTCACTGTAGCCCCAAACTGGGCTCAAGTGATTCCTCCCACTGCTCCACTTCAGCCTCCTGAGTAACTGGGACTATAGCCACGTGCCACCACACCTGCCTATAATTTTTTTCAATGAGGCAAGACTGTGAGGGTTCACACTTTCCATTAGATGCCAGCAAACTTCACCTCCAGCAAGTCCTGCCCCCCTAATCAGGTCAGATCAGCAAGCAGAGGCAGGTCCTCCCATCTTCTCTCTCCTTGGACTGTCCCCAGTCACACTGGAGGTCTTCGCTGCCACACCTGTTCCACACTGGAAGAAAGAAATATCTGATTCTTTCTAGCCTCTCTTGGGAAATCTTATCCTCCCTTATGTCTCTGCTTTCTCTAATCTTTTAGAGTAGATTTTATGTGTCTGTAGCATTCTGTACATATGCCCTTGAAAATGTCCAATGGGCCTTTATTTGAGAGTATTTTGACACACATTTCAGCCAACAAGCTCCCAGATCGTAGAGCCTACCGTCATAGTAAGAGCTACTTGGAAAGAAGAGTCATCCCTGGTCAGCATTCAGCCTTGTGTGCAGCAGCCCCCAAAGGGTGAAGGGTTTACTTTTTAGAAATAGCGGTTATATATTTGGAGAAGAAAAGTTATAAAGGGACAATTCCTATATAATGATGAGTAACAACCTCGTTTTTTTAAAAATTCTGTTTCTGGGGTAGTATCCATAGAATAGTAACTTTAGAGGATTTTCAACTATGTTTTGATTGTCAGTTAAAATATAAAATGTAAAAAGAACTTGTCATCTTCTTTTGTTACTGACATATTATGAGACCCTCTGTTCTAAACCTGCTCCTCTCTCACGGGATGTGAGGCTAAGGTGAACACACTGGCGGGCCCTGCATCTCCTTGTGGCATTTAGATCAAATTACCTGGAGGGAACATTGGAGAGGAGATGGCCCTGACTCCTGGGGTTGTGGAGAGGGGACAGTGTTGCCAGCCCAGGTTGAGCAGCATGTCCCACCAACTGCAGGTGCCTCCTGTACCCAGGGCCTCTTGGAGAGGGACCTCAGCAGTATTCTGTCTAGTTCTTATACAAGGGGGTAGTGTGCATTTTGTTAGTTTTGTTTTGATGCTTTTTTAATCAAAAGAAGGAAATGGAGCACATAATGATCTACTCCTTAAAACTTTAACATTGATAAAAATGACATCTGGCTGGGCAGGCTGGCTCACGCCTGTAATCCTAGCACTCTGGGAGGCCAAGGCAGGAGGATGCCTTGAGGTCAGGAGTTTGAGACCTGAGCAAAAGTGAGACCCTGTCTCTACTAAAAATAGAAAAATTAGCAGGGCATGGTGGCACACGTCTGTAGTCCCAGCTACTTGGGAGGCTGAGGCAGGAGAATCTCTTAAGCCCAGGAGTTTGAGGTTGCTGTGAGCTACGATAATGCCACTGCAGTCTGTCTACCTGGGGTGACAGAGTTAAACTCTGTCTCAAAAAGAAAAAGAAAAAAAGAAAAAAGACATCTGATCCTTTCTTAACATGGCTTTGAAATACCCTTTCCTAATACTTCCTGAGGGAAGCATCATCCCTTCTCAAATGCCTTTACATAAGCATTTGTAAGCCGTGAGTTGCCATCTTTGTTTGTGGTTATATTATGGCATTTCCAGCAGCTGCTGTGGTTTTTGAATTGTTTGTTTTAGTATTATTGTTCTAAATTAATATCTACATTATAAGATGCATATCCACTCCCTCCAAAATACTTTTTTCCTGTTAAACATGTTGATAGTAATGAGAAAAAGACAAAATGAAATGCTTTGGAAAGCTTCAGTTCAAATTAGTTGATTTAGCAATAGCACTTTAATATAGTTATAGATTTATTTTTATTCTTGTTTCCTTTTAACTAGTATAGTATATTTAGAAAATCTTGTCTATTAATGGCATTAGGTATGGTGGTACTTTGTTTAGTGTCCTTTTTTTTTAAATTAATATCCGAACTGGGACAGTTTATGTGACATTCAGCATTGGAAATGTGGCATAGGGCCTTGGCTGTGTATGTGGTAGAGATATGTTGGCACCCATGTCTCCCAGACAGGTGCCGGCCCAGGAGTAGGTTTCCCAACATACATGGAAATGTCATATTGATATGCCATTGGATTTTAAGGGTTTTTGTTGTTACAAAAATGGTCATTAAGATGGGTGTTGGAACATTTTGACTCTAATGGAGAGCTCTGTGGCCAGGTAACTGACCTGACAGTGACTGTGCTGCTTCCCTGCCCTCCCGTCCTCACTGAGCACCTGCCCTGCCCTGTCCTTCCAGATCCACCTGGACACAGGCCTTGTGAGTGGGATTGACACTCTCCTCAACTGCTTCCTGTCAGAGTCTTCCTCACTTCTATCTGTCTCTATCCCCCCAAGTCTCCTCTCCACCCTGGGAACAGGTCTCCCCTCACCCCTCATCCCTGAACTTCTTCCACCAGGCACCTGCCCTGCGCCACCACTGCTCAGTCTGTCCCCTGTCCTCGCTCATGTCCTCAGTTCGTCTCTGCCCCCAGGCTTGCTTCTCTGTGTTCTCTCTCTTTTTTTTTTTTTTCTTGAGACAGAGTCTCATTCTGTTGCCTGAGCTAGAGTGCTGTGGCATCAGCCTAGCTCACAGCAACCTCAAACTCCTGGGCTCAAGCGATCCTTCTGCCTCAGCCTCCCGAGTAGCTGGGCATGCTATAGGCATGCGCCACCATGCCCGGCTAATTTTTTTTCTATATATATTAGTTGGCCAATTAATTTATTTCTATATTTAGTAGAGACAGGGTCTCACTCTTGCTCAGGCTGGTTACCTTGAGCAATCCACCTGCCTCGGCTTCCCAGAGTGCTAGGATTAGAGGCGTGAGCGACCCCGGCCTCTGTGTTCTCTCTTAAGGAAGCCCCCATGTCCCTCCCTGCTAGGCAGCGCCCCATGCCTCCAGGGCTCAGATGAAACCGGCCTCAGAGGGCCTAGGAACAGAATGCAGCGAGCAGAGCGCTGGCCAGTAGGGGACCTTCACTCTGGGCAGCTCCTTCCTCTTCCGCTGCTCTCCTCATGGCACTTCCAGGTTGTTTGCTCAGGTCTTTCTGCTTTCCTGATGTTGTCCTGCTCCCTGTAGTTTTTCCCCAGAATTCTATACTTTCCTGCTTATCCTTTTCCCTTGGAGATCTTTTTAGGATGTCAGAGAGCTGGGTCTTACTCTTCACGAC